TGTCATGGGCCTGCACCCTAGGGGGCGGGCAGGGAGGAAGTAGGTGATCTCAGATACAAATTGCAAACCTGTGCTATAAAGAAAACTGAGCACCTGAGAACATAAAGAATAAACCTGTGGGTTCTCTGGGGAAGGGGCGTGGAGGCTGAGGGGGATCTAGCCAAGTTACAGATTGGGTCCGGACTGAGCTGCAGGAGTGGAACAAGCAGCCAGGATTCGCTCCATGGAAGGAGGTGGCCTGAGAGGAGTGCTGCAGTTATCGGCTGGTGCTGAGCAAGGCAGCCACACGCATGCCTTGGGCAGGTATGGGGGGCTCACTGAGGAAGATCGGGCTGTTGACCTATCCTTGCAACCCCATGCTAGAGCTGGAACCACGTGACAAGTACATGACAAAGTCCCAAGAGGAGCTGAGGGCACAGCAATGTCTGGTTAGCAAACAGCTGCCAAGGCAGACCTGCTTCTAATGGGGACTCGAGTGATATGAAATGGTGACAAGGCACGCTCAGAAACCTGCCTGTCCCCTTGCTCATCCCCCACCCAGCCTCTGGGACTATTATTATTTGTCCAGTGTTTCTTCGTGTAAAAACGTATTCTCATTCCCTTCCCCTTCTTGCTCCAAAGATGCCACACACAGTGCCCTTACTGCTATGCCCTAAGTGCCAGCTGCACCCACCTCCAAGGCCCATGTGTGAACGCCTCCATTCCTTGCTGCCTGCTGCTTTGCCTGTGCCCATTCCTGATGTCTTGGGTGTTCACAGTAGGAAACTCCTTTACTGGAAGCATTAGACTTTTGGGGTCAGAGAGCCAGGCTTGCCCCAGATGTAACAGCAGGAAAAGTTGGTGGCTTCCAATTATCTAATAATCCCCAGCATGACAGTCCGTTACAACAGCTGGTACCGAGGGCAGAGAGCACATGGCTGCCAACAGTCAGCATTCATTTATGTTGGAAGTGGGTTTCACATAGTCTTTGTTAAATATTTTAATGGCCTGGAGCCCTGGCTGGTGCGGTTCAGTGGTTAGATCGTTGGCCTGTTCACCCAAGGATCGCAGGTTTAATTCCCAGTCAAGGACACAGGCTCAATCCCTGCCCCGGTTGGGGTGGTGCGGGAGGCAACTAATTGATGTATCTCACATCAATGTTTCTCACCCTCCCTCCCTTCCGGCCACTCTAAAATCAATGGAAAAATATCCTAGGGTTGAGGAATAACAAAAATAAAATAAAAAACAGGCGGCGGGGGGAGGTGGGGGAGCAGGGGGAAATGACCTGGGCGTTAAAGTCTGCTTTTGTTGGGTACGAGGGTGAATTTCACACGGACCCAGTCCTAAAGCTGCACTTCATTTGTTGGGGAAGACGGCGTTTCCCTAGATGACTGACTTGTGTGAGATGAGCTTTGAGAATTTGGAGGCAGAAATGGTGAGGTGGGTTGGAGCCAAGGGCACCACTGGGGCTGGTCTTAAAGGGTAGCAAAACCTGGAGAGAGACAAATGGTGTCAGACTCACCCAATTAAAAGGCATGTGAGCCCTGACTGGTTTGACTCAGTGGATAGAGCATCAACCTGCGGACTCAAGGTCCCGGGTTCGATTGTGGTCAAGAGCCTGTATACCTTGGTTGCGGGCACATCCCCAGTGGGGAGTGTGCGGGAGGCAGCTGATCGATATTTCTCTCATCAATGTTTCTAACTCTCTATCCCTTTCCCTTCCTCTTTGTAAAAAAAATCAATAAAATATATTTTAATAAATAAATAGAACGCATGTGAAGCACAGGTCTGACTGGCTGCCGTCCACATGTGACAGGTATCCTTCCTGAACTGGTTGACTTGTTTGTTTAGAGAAAATGCTTTTAAAAAAAATTTTTTAATTGATTTTACAACCCGGCCAGTGTGGCTAAATGGTTGAGCGTCCACCTATGACCCAGGAGGTCACAGTTCGATTCCTGGAGAGGGCACATGCCCCTGTTGTGGGCCCCATCCCCAGTGGGAGGTGTGCAGGAGGCAGCCGATCAATGATTCTTTCTCATCATTGATGTTTTTCTCCCTCTTCCTTTCTCTCTTTCTAAAAATGAATAAAAACATTTTTAAAAATTGATTTTAGAGAAAGAAACGGCATTTTTGTTGCAGTTACTTATGCATGAATTGGTTGATTCCCATATGTGCCCCGACCAGGGATCAAACCCGCAACCTTGGCATATCAGGACAACATTGTAACCAACTGAGCTACCCGGCCAGAGCTGGCTTGTTTGTTTATAAATATATTAGTAATGTACTTTTATATATCATGCATCTTGCTCATTTTACTTTCAGGAGGCATCACAAGAATTGTTATGTAGCCTTTTCTCTATTTTTAATCACTATATTATTTCATTTCACTGTATGTGTAGGCAGGTTTTCATTTTCACTGTTCTATATAACATCCTGGTGTGTGTTACAGGACCACTCGCACCTGCTGAGCAGGGAGGAAGGTGAGTTCTGCCCTGTCAGGGCGTCGTTTGTGCGTGGTTCATGGACGATGGCAAGGGCACTTGGATGGCTGAGCAGGAAGGAAGGAAGTGCCATCTCTTCGCCCCAAGAATGAGCAAACGTCAGTCACAAGGGGCTGGGTGGAGGGGTGTCGGCCTGAGGCTCATTTCATACCAGTTGTCTCCCGTTCCTTGACAAGAACAATGACGGTTCTCTCTTATGTAAACCGCTGAGCAAACTCAGGGGCAAGCCCAGGGCCCGCCCCCCTGCGCGGCTCTCCGCACCACCTGCCGACCCACCTGAG